ATGGTAGTTGCATTTCCTGACTCGAGACCTGTAAAAAACTAAAAACGGAGCGACTGGAAATTATACAGTACACCAGTACTACTCCTCTGTCAGTGTGATGACTCTCACTAATGTAAGTGAGTCAGTTTTGTTTGAGAAACTCTTTACTTTTATTTGTTTGAGCTTCGTTGGTTGATGCTGTGACCTCACATAATCATCACTGATTTAAATAATATTGATCAACAGAATAAGCAACGGGCTGTTGTATTACGGACATTTAGTCGAACAGGACAGAAACATTATGCTCCTTTAAATGTTATTGGGCTAAAAGGTAGTACACCGTTAGTGGAATGTAACTAAGTACATCTACTCAAGTACTGTTTTAAGTACACATCTGAGGTACTTGTTCTTTACTTGAGTATTTTCTTTTCATGCCACTTTTATTTCTACTGCAGCTCATCTCAGAGGGAGATATTGTAGTTTTAACTTGTAGTTACTTTGCAGATAAAGATTTTTACACAAAACACATGACGAGTTTATAAAATATGATGTTTTGTTATAAATGAAACTTCCCAACAGGTTATACAAGGACAACTGAAACGATTAGTGTATTAATCAATCAGTTGATTGACATAACATTTTTGGTGTTTGATGGTTTCAGCTTCTCTCATGAAGATCTGCTGCTTCTCCTCTGACTGATTAGTAGTAACGTTGATCTTTGGACTGCTGGTTGTGAAGGCGTCACTTTGGGCTCTGGGTAACTGTGACGGCAGAATCTTTACAAACCAAACAATCAATCAGAATGAAAAGAATCATCAGCTGCAGTCTGAAACTAAACAGTTCAGAATGAGCTGCACAACTAAAGCAGCAACATCCTGCTAAACATTAATGAGGAGGAAGAAGAATCTGATTTGTACAGTCCGGTAGTTTTACTTTATATCTGAATACTTCCTGCACCACAGCACACTGCTCTAGCTGAGCTTCTCATCACTGTCTGACTAAATATGGGCAGAACACTTGTGTACGATCTTCAGACAGTGACATTTATAGATGTGGATTTAAAGGTTTAAAGTGTGTGAGCTGGAGATTTATCCCTGACACAATGACTAACGGTGGGATCAGTCGACACTCCCTGTAGAGACTTGCACAATTATAAAAACTCAGAATGTGTTGCTTCACTTTGTAGCAGCAGCTGAAGTGGTGGCAGTGGTGGATCCTTTATTTAAGTAAAAGTACCAATACCTTACTGATAAAAGTGCTGCATTGATAATGTTACTTAATGAAAATCATGTAGGTATAATCAGGAAAATGCATAAAGTCTTAAAAGTAAAGGTACTCGCTGCGGAATGAAAAATGTCCTGTGATGATTCTGAAAAGATAAATTCTGAAAATAGTGAGAAATGTTATCATAGTTGCCCAAAGTGACTCTTTTACAACGCTCGTTCTGTCAGTCCAAACTTCAAAATGATTAAAAATACATTAAATTAATCAAGAGGAAAAGCAGCAAATCTTCACGTGAAATATTTTTACATGAAAAATTACAATTATCAGTTGCCAATGAAATGTCTGTCCCACAACTAATGTACTGTACTTGTATTAAATGGTGGGAGTTTAGTTTAGACCAAAACATCATATTTTATAAACTCTTCATGTGTTTTGTGTCTAAAAATCTTAACTTGTAAAGTAACTGAAGCTGTCAGATAAATGTAGTGAAGTAAAAAGTACAACATCTCCCTCTGAAACTAAACCTGGAGAAGCAGCATTCAGTTTTTATGCTTCATATCTCTGGAACAAACTCCCAGAAAACTGCAGGTCTGCTGAAACTCTCAGTTCTTTTAAATCAAGACTGAAGACTTTTCTTTTTACCGCTGCCTTTAATTTCCACTGCACTGTCCTGTTTTATCCTGTCTGTATTTTCTATTTTAATTGGTTTATAACTTATAACTACTTTTATATTTTACTGTTGCCCTGTTATGTAAAGCACTTTGAATTGCCTTGTTGTTGAAATGTACTATAAAAATAAATTTGCCTTGCCTCCGTGGTGGAGCAGAACTAGAAAGGAAAATACAAGTAAAGTGAAGTACAAATACCTCTAATTTGTACTTAAGTACACATATTTTAATCACTGCAGCACTGTGAGGATGAAGTGAAACCGTGAGGGGAATAAAACATGACAAACAGCAGAAATCCCCCCCATGAAGTGTCCCTGCTGCAGGAGGCCCCGCCTGTCCTGCAGAAGTGTCCCTCTGTCTGATGCGGCGGACTTAACTTCCTGTTGTGCGTCAGGAATATGCTGCGTCAAGCTGAACGCACACAGACCGGAAGCAGGCCTTCGGAATAAAAGCATGACGTGTCTTGTCAGGTAAATTTAAATTTAGTTCTTAATCGATTGATCACATTTAAAAAGGCATTTTTAAGGTAAAGACGTACGCTTTTTAAGTCACATGTACGCAAAATAGTGTCGATTTTTATTTTTCCACACTACTATTATTTATATTTTTTAAATTTCTTTTTCATATTTTCCACTTACCAACTTTTTTGTTGTTCATTGAATGAATGAATGAAGTTTTATTATTGTGTCATGCGTACAATTACACCCAGACCGCAAGGGCTTACAAGACACCAAATTCAGTCTGGCCAGGACCAGCGTACTGCATGTACAGTGTAAAACAGCACAGAGAGGAGAAAAATACTAATAAATATCTACATATGCACCCACATATATGTGCCCATATATACTGTACATATACAAATCTACTTAAACAAACTAACTTGCCTTCTTTTCCAAGCCTTTAAACCTTAATTCTATTTTTACTTTAACTCTTTGATCAGTAAAGTGAGCGTCTGCAACACAACAGTTCTCCCTGTGAGATCAAGAAAGTGATTCTGATTTCTGATTCTTAATAAACAGAATTTGAAACACTTTAATGATCACTGAGGGGAAATTGTTGTGTTGCAGACGCTCACATTGCACATCAAGGCATAAAGGAATAGAAATAATAATATAATTATTATTAGAATACTTGGTAAGTAAAAAAGTATTTAAATATGAAATAATAAAGAAATATAAAGGAGTGTGGATAAACAGGCCTACAAACACAACACAGTAAACAGAAACAACATTTACATTCATCCTCCCATTCATGAAACAACTGATTTGACTGTTTGTAAAATATCTGTTGAATGAAACTTGGATTTATTTGACAGCTGCATTTTTGTGTGTCACTGCTCTCGCACGGGTGAGTGTGAACACAGTTGGTTTGTGTCTGGACATTCCTGAAAGTCCTGCTCACTTTTTGATGGATGACAGAATGGATATATTGAGTCTAAACATGCTGGAATCTGCCAGTTTGTAATTATAGTGTAAACTCCCCTATGTGTCGCTAAAACCAACAAATAGTCTTAGCCCCAGTTTGTGTCTCTCATGTATTACCATAAACTGGAGACTCCTCAGACTCGTCTCACCATCTGTAGAAGAAATAACTTTCTGTGTCTGTTGCACATAAAAAAAAAAACTCCCAAAACTTTTTAACTCGAAATATTATCAAAACCACAATATATCCAATTGCAACATCCAAATCTCAGGAGCCTTTTATAAAAATCTATTTTATAATTATACATGAAGCTTAGCGGCGCCACAGACACACAGAAAACTTGACTTTATGGACCAATTTATTGCTCGGTGGATGCTTCACTCACAAGGCTGACACATCCTCCTAAATGACAGCAGCTCTAATCTAACAGCGTCAGTGTTAAATATACTGTATATAGTTACAATGTAGAGAATAATGCAGCTGAAGGACATCTAAGAAAATGCACCCCGCTCTCCATTAAACACTCTGAGAGAACACGTATATCAGATTATACTCTGCAGGAATAATGGGATTATACATGACTTTGCTTTGACATCAGCATTATATATCTGCCTCCAGCCTCCCTGCTGTTTAAATATCGGCATCGTAATATCTGTCAAAATTAACACAATATGATTTTTTTTGTTCTGTTTTAACTAATTTCTCAAGTTGAGACTCTGTTTTCTAATCCAGACAAAGACAGTAGCCAGAAAACCCATCGGCTGTTTGTTTGTGTGTTTAGCCCGTGGTTTTGTCTCAATTTACAAAACGTAAAACGTGTATAATTACATTGAATTTGGTGTGATATTTTTTACTGAGCACGGTCAGTGTTCCTGGAAGTCACACGACAAAACCCTGGAATATTCTGGTACAATTATCAAAAAATTAGAAAGCTTTTCTAAATATCATGAATGTAAGTTTTGCTAACTTTGTCTCAAAGGCGTGAAAAAGAAATGATATTAGTTTGTTTAATTAGATTTAACTGTGTATTATGTATGTGTATATGCATATGTGAGTGTATATATGTGGGTGCATGTGTGCATGTATATATTTTCCTCTTCTTATTCCCCTTTCTGTATTGTTTGACACTGTATAAGCTGTACTCTGGGCCTGGCTGTACTGAAGTACAGAATCAGAATCAGGTTTATTTCCAGGTACATTTGCACCAACGAGGAATTAGCCTTAGTATATTTGTTGAAGGTAGAAACTGTAAAGAGATCAAACAATGTGCAAGTATACCAAATAAAACAATAATACTAATACCAAGAAATATAAAGGATTATCAACAAGGAATGTACAAAAATTCACAATGAGCAAGAAAGAATAAAGAATTAGTGCAAAGTACACAGTTCAAAGTGTGGTGTCCTGTAAGCCTGTGCTGGCTGGGACACAATAATTAATTAAACTTTATTCATTCATTCATTCTGTACATTTCATATATTTAAAGTTTACACTCTGAGCAGTATCAATTTCACAGAATCAGCGGGAAAGAAAGAAAGAAACATATTTAACCCATTTTTCACCTCAAACTGTAAAATAAGCAGCTTGTTTTGTTTAAATTTGATTAAATTAAATAAATAAATTCACTTCATTGACTTTACTCCCAGCACGGCAGGCAGAGGTGCTTTTGTTTTGAAAGGAGCGAACCGGACGCGGTGAAGGCCCCGTGACGCAGCTTGACTCGGGTCCAGCAGGTTGGGACCAGCCCGGGACTGCAGCCTCCCCCCAGTCTCGGCCTCTCCCCCGGTCTGATAGTTCCCGTGTTCCTCCTGCGTTCATCGACTAAAACAAGCCAACAGAACCGGACTGAACCCGGGACCCGCTCGGCTTCCCACCAAACCGGAAGCAGGGTTTATTTAGTAAACAAACGGCTCGCTTCGCGGTTATGGGGCGAAGACTGGCGTTTTAAATCCGTTTGAAGCGACTCTGTGGGCGGACACACAGGACCCGGGACGCTAGCTAACTCCCAGGCATCTTCTCCTGGTCTCATCGGTTAGTCCGCCGCAGCCATGGCAGCAGGACGGACGGGTCTGGGTCTGCTGGTCCTGGTCGGGTTGAGCTTCCACCGCGGCGGCTCCTTCAACCTGGACGTGGACAAACCGCTGGTGTACTCCGGAGAGGAGGGCAGCTACTTCGGCTTCTCGGTGGACTTCTTCAAGCCGAACGACCAAAAGTAAGACTCCCAGCAGAGAGATGAAGACCAGGGTCAGGTTCGGCAGCTAAGGGGGACAGTTAAGACAAACCCGGGTCCAGATCAAACACCGCTTTACCCAGAACTGTCAGATCCGGACTAGGCTGCACCAGAGAGGCTAAAGGTCCTTTTAAACGTGGTTTTAGATTTATGTTTTCTTTCTTATGTAGACCACATTAGACCAGGTCCACATCAGAAACCACTATCCCTACAGCTGCCAGATCCGGACTAGGCTGCACCAGAGAGGCTAAAGGTTCTTTTTAAAACACACTTTCAGATTTGTGAAACATTTATTCTACTTGGGGAGAAACAAAAAAGGGAGATTTCCCTGTGTTTTTTATTTTACATGTAGACCACATTAGACCAGGTCTACATTGTAGACATTGTAGTCTACATTGTAGACCTGGTCTAATGTGGTCTAGGCTGTCCCAGAAGAGCTAAAGTTCCTTTAAAACTTACTTTCAGATGTGTGAAACTTTTATTCTGTTTGGGAAAATTACGATTTATGTATATTTTTACCACATGTAGACCACATTAGTCTGGTCTAATGTGGTCTACATGGTCTACCAGGTCTGGTCTAATGTGGTCTACATCTGGTAAAAATATATATAAATCGTCATTTTTCAATTTTCAACAGAATAAAAGTAAGTTTTAAAGAAACTTTAGCTCTTCTGGTGCAGCCTAGACCAGAACTGACAGCTGTAGGGATAGTGGTTTCTGATGTGGACCTGGTCCAATGTGGTCTACATGCAGATAAAAACCCCCATATAAATCGTCCTGTTTTCTATTTTCCCTAACAGATTAAAGCCTTCTTAAATCTAAAACTGTGTTTAAAGACACTTTCGCCTCTGTGGTGCAGCCTAGTCCAGATCTGACAGTTCTAGGGATAGTGGTTTTGGATCTGGACCTGAGTTTCCCTTAACTGCCCCCCTTTACTGCTGAATCAGCTGGACTCGGTCCCGTCTTCACCGTTCGGCTCACGAGGATCGGTCAGACCGGCGTCTCTCCCCTGCTGCGTCTTTGTGTTTTAAAAAATAAAAGGTGGAAGTGACTGGAACAGCGTTTCGGAACGAAGCCGGTTTAACTCCTAAATTTGCACATTTAAGGTAAAACCGAGGCATAAAAGGTGGTTTGAAGGAGTCTGAGTTTATATGACGTCGTGTGTTCACACATTTAGAGATGATTAAGGGACGTTTGATGCGACGTCGCCGCAGCTTGAGGTTGAAAGTAGTCTCTGTGGTACCATGGTAACACTCCTCAGCAGCCTTCCTGTTTGTGTTTCCTGCTGCAGTCTCTGTTTGACAAGATAACGGGCAGCGAAATATCTGGTTTGTTAAGTACGTCTGCTCTCCTATTGGCCCAGATACAACATATGTCCTGGGTGCACAAACGCTGAGAGGGATCTTTTTAGGTTGTCTTTCCGTGTCGAGCCAAATACTTATAAATACTCCCACACGATGATTACAAGCCACAGTTACACATGAATCAGCGCTGACACGAAGCCAAGAGAAACATCCACATCATCTCACGGAGCGTGTGCTCTGAGGAGGGGCGCTCTCCAGCTTTACATGAACGACGCTTTTTGCTTTTCCAGCCAGGCTGTGGAGATAAATCCTGTTTCCCCGAGTAAAGCGAGCCGGTGTGAACAAACTAACTGTGTAGCTCTCACAGCTCCTCTCAGAACCTGCAGCATCTGCCTGTTTTTAGTGGCCGAGCTGCAGACGGGCGGTGAGGTAAAAGGAAAACCCAACGTTAGGTGTGTCAGTAAGTTTCAGCGCACCTCAGCAAACAAAGAGTATTTTCATCGCCCATTAATCTGTTGATTGTTTTCTCGATTTACTGTAAAACTAGCCCAGGTTTTTTTTATTAGCTTCAGTCAAGGGATGAACCGAATGTTGGGCCAAAAAAAATCACTTTCTGTGTTCGGCCTAATGAGTCAAAAGACCGAATAAGTCACAAAAAACAATCACGTTGACGTGTCGGCAGTGTGGAAGCATTTTAAAGTGTCCATTAAAAGTAAATGGACTCATGTAATTTACTTTACCGGACCCTGTCAGGCCCCAGGCCCCGGGCCCCCCCACCATAGTCTCCCCACATCCAGAGGAAAAAGCACATTTTGACTGTTTAATTTTTGCAGTGGTAAAAAAGACTTGGTTTTGGGACGGTTTTTCATTATTTTCAGCCTCAGCTAAGGATTTTCATTTCGGTGCTTCCCTGCTTCAGTCACTGAACTCACCTTATCTAAATTTGGGCCTTTAAGTCCTTTCACACAAACCTCTTATCAAAGACGGGAAAATGTTGAATGTGTGAATTACTTGTGATTACTTGTATAAAAATATCATTTACAGCTGGAACGTGTACAGATATTGTGAGGTCGACCGTAGAGGTTCAAGCGTTCACCTTGCAGGGAAACGATCCACCTGGAATGTGAGCTTGCATGTATTTGATTGGCCAACGCGGCGCCTTTTTACCAGATGACATCATGTTGCGTTGCAGCTGAGCCCGGTTCAGCTGTTTGGCTGTTGGACCCAGAGCTCCCCGCTGTGACTCCTGCGGTCGTGATGTAAACAACATAATCACTATGATGACGACACATTAAACTATACCGGCGCTTAAACAAACAGGGTCACGAGGCTCGACCAAAGACTATAAACTGCGGTCAAACCCTTAACTGTCCCCCCTCGTCCTCTCCTCAGGTCCGATGTTCTGATCGGAGCTCCCCGGGCCAACACCTCCGGCAGCATTGTGGAGAGGGGAGCGGTGTACAGCTGCCCCTGGAAGAGCTCCTCAGCCTGCCAGCAGCTGCTGTTTGACAGCTCAGGTACCAAAACCTCTGCTTTATGTTTCCCAGCTGTGGCTGCACTGCTGCCTTCTTCAGTTCAGTTTAATAAGATTTCATAAATGTCATCAGAGAATCGGCACCACTGAAGCGCCGATAGGTGGGTCATCATTATGACCACATGCCATGGCCATGTCATGTCAGAAGAGTTTCACCACTTTTTATTATTGTCGTTTGTGCTGTGCTCACGTAAGTTACCATAAACTGGCAAAGGTTGGTTTCTGGGTTTCTAAACATTTAGTTCAGTTTATTCACAAAACATTAAAATACAAGTACAATCATAAGACATAATGCAGATTTGTGAAAAGGGGACACCTTGGTAAGCTATCTGATGCTACGTATTATCTGGATAAATACTACAAATAAATAAAGTACATGCAATCTACAGTATCATTTCTAACCTACATAGAGAAAACAGCTAAACCACCCAGTGGTCTCAAGATGTTCATTACATCAGTCTAGCTAACAGGAAAAAATATTATAATTATAATAATCTTTACTTCTATAGCACCTTTCATACATAAAATGCAGCTCAAAGTGCTTAACATCATGAGCACTTAAGTGAAAAAGTACATAAATAAATAAATAAAACATACAATACAGCAACACGTAATCCACAAGCACAAAAACACAGATATTAAAACTGTGAAATGGTAACAGCCACAGTGTGAAATAAATACAATATATGAGATCAGTTAAAAGCAAAAGCATAAAAGTATGTAAATAAATAGAAAAACAACAGTACAATTTAAATAAATTCCAGAATGAAAAAAGACCCTGCTGACCCATGTTGGGGGCCCAACAGCACATTTGTGGCCTGTGGCCCCCTGAATAATCCAGCCTTGTCTCAGCTGCTGCGTTCCATGAATGAATGCTAAAACTACACCGTGTTTAGAAGCAGAGACTAAAGACAGTCTGGGAGTACGTCCACAGTACGCGGGTTAGAGCTGTAAAACCTGTGTTTAAAAATGCCGGCTTGGTGTTTCAGCACGTACAAAGTAAACAGAACTTTTACGAAAAGATGCCGGGGCTGTGAAGCAGTTGAAAAAAAAAGAAGAGATTTAGCCGTTTTCATGTTGTTCAGTGAAGACATGCTGCAAAAATGATTGGCGGCTTCATGTAGTCTGGCTCACAGTAAAGAAACGGATTTTATAAGACAGTTGATGCTGAACTTGACCATAATTGATAAACGAGGTTCACCTGATTAGTGTGCCCCTTTGTCCTTTAAAGCTAACAACACTAATATACACACTATGAACAAAACAACAGTAGGCTTTGATTTCATCAGTATGAACGTCTGAAAACTTTAAGATTCATTTCAGAAAGTGTTTTGCAAGGAGACACAAGGAGAAACTGATAAGTAGCAAGAACGCTGGTGAGAGTGTCATTTTCACTTCTAATACCAGGCCGTGTAGCTCTCACAGTTTGTTAGTAACAGTGTGTTTTGATGGGATAATAAGCATTCAGCTCAGCCGGCTGCTGTTATCTCTGGTTCGGGACTCGTTCAGGAATGTGTGGTGAAGCAGGAGGTGTGTGGACTCGTCCAGGGACTGTGTGTAGGCAAACTCCGGCTCTTTGTCTTCTGTTAGCAAACAGCTCCTTCCAGCAGTGATGATTATTGTGTAATTTATTGAGTCACGTTGCTGGAACAACAATGAAAGGCAACAGGAGCACAGGATTTTAATACAGTAATGTGTATAATGTGTAAATATTGTGTTTTTCTGGAAGTGTTCTTCCTTTTAATGGCTTCCTAGAATTGTTATCATTTCCTCTGTGAAATCCTTTTGGTAATCTGTGTTTAGACTGGCTGTGAGCGGTCACAAACAGACGCGTGTTCTTCCTGATTACAGTGTTGATTGTGTTTTTTTCTGGTAAAGAAATATGGGGGTGGGGAGTAGGACGAAAGAGAACAGACATGTAGAGAGATGTGAAGTAATGGTAAAAATACAAATATCACTGAAGATGAATAATCGTACCACAACTAGAATGGGTATTTCCCAAAGAAAAGTGTTTCCTCTACCATTGTTTTGGGGGTGCTGTCCACTATAAGTATATCTTTAGATAGTGCTACTCGGAGGTGTTTGGGCCCCAGGACAATAGCTCAGCTCATTCTGGTTTTTATATCTTGAAGGCACGGTTCGATATATATAATTGAGTATCATCTGCATAACATTGAAAGTTTATGGAGTGTTTCCTGATAATATTGCCTAAAGGAAGCATAAACAAGGCGAACAGGATTTGTCCAAGCACAGATCCTTGTGGAACTCCCTGACTAACCGTGGCATGCATGGAGGATTCATCATTAACATGTAAAAACTAAAATTAATCTGATAAATAGGACTTAAAGCAGCTTAGAGCGGTTACTTTAATGCCAATTAAACGTTTAGGTCTTTGTAATAGGATGTGATTGTTAACATCGCTAAGGACTCTCTGTAATCTTCTGTACTTTATGCTACTGTTACGCTGCTGTGGTTTAGCATGACAAAAAGTTGTCTGTGAAGAGTCTCAGTCATACAGGTCATAGTTACCCAAGGACGGTTAAAGGTTAAACTTTTTGCCGCTCATCCGAGGAGCTTAGATCTCTCTCTCAGTTTCAGAACTGAACTGGATGAGAGGCAAACGTCTTCAGATATCTTTTACCAGTCCAGTTGCCCTAGACTTAGGTTATCCCATAAAGTACCTTGTGGTCACAGTTGGCGACCTCCAGCAATGTAGTATGTAGTCTCAATTTGAGATTATGGAGAAATACTTTAGGACTTGAAAGGAAAGTGTAGCAGAACATTTGAGATGAGCTCTTTCAACCAGAAACATGTTTTATTTTAGCCTGGAAAAAAAGGGCTTTTCTGATGTGTCACTGACAGTTCAGCCTGTTTCCTGTAAGACAACAGTCTGAATGACTGCTGCTTTTTTGGCAAAACTATAAAATAAGCAGGGCTCATGAGGTAAAACCATGCACCCGCAGCTGTTGACGCTTTTATAAAATGCGATGAGAAGATCATTTGAGAGAAGCAGCAGGACAGACTTTGTCTTTTGACTCATGGAAGTTTAGGTTGGATGTCAGAAAGTAAGGCCAAAAAATAAACTTCAAGGCGACCTGGCGGTCCAGCAGTTAAGGCGTAAACCATGTAACCACAAGTCTGTCTGTTGCTTTGTCTTGTCCCTCTTTCCTGTCTGCTACCGTGAAATAATAGATAAGTAAGTAATTTCAAACCCACACAACAAAGTTGGTGTAAGATCCTGATAAGACATTCATGATATTTCCTTTGGCTGTAATGATGCAACCACATAATATGCCTTCAGAAATATTTTGTTGACAAGAATAAGCAACGGGAGGCACCATGTCTCACTCAATGAGTTCCGTATTGTCTCTTGTAATTGTTTTACTATTGAATGTATTTGAACAGACATCTTACCATTAGCACAGAATATAATTGGCTGGGATTGTCCTTGTATTTTGGGATTCTTCAAATATACTTTCATTCAGCAGTCTAACAACTGTTCTGAATCAGTGCCCCCCTCCGATGATATCATGCAGACTGATGCTAAAGCTAACAAGCGTAATTGTTCAACGCTAAACGTAGGCCTTGAGGTGGTGATGGCACAGTGGATAAGACACATACCCTTGGTGTGAGTCCATTGTGACACCAATGTGTCCCTGAGCAAGACACTTAACCCCTCGTTGCTCCAGAGGCGTGCGACCTCTGGTATCTATAGTAGTTGTAAGTCGCTTTGGATAAAAGCATCAGCTAAATGAATAAATGTAAAGGGATAAATAACAGAAAAGTCCAAGTAAGGAGGTGGTCAGGGTGGATGGGTGGGTCAGAACCCGGACTTTGACCAAGGAGAGTTTTTTCCCGTGTGAAACAAAAAGTAAGTCACGTAAGAAACTTAGTTATTTTAACCCAAACCATGATCTTTTTCTAAACCTAACCAAACTTTTCGCAGCGTTAAGAACTGGCTTTATTTTGAAAGTCTAAAGACCAAGAGGTTTTGACCAGGCATCCAAATGTGACGCCCTGGGATGAGAACGGGTTGTGAGTTGATGATCCATGTAGAAGACATGTTTGTATTGCAATGTAAAGCTAGTTGCCTCTAATTTTATAAGTATGAAAAAGAAAGTTCATCCCTCAAACAATCGTAGGTGACTGCTGGTAGTAAGCTAGCTGGCAGTATATTGGGAAACTTCACTGCGTTGTTATTTACATACCATACATCACAGAAGTTAGACAGGTCAGCTCAGATTAGTTTATCAGCTTCTCAGTAGGTGTGGCCATGATAAAGATTGAACTCATATAATCAGCTGCCTGTGTAACACAATGTGTTATGGTGGAATTTCAAAACACGTCTCACCTGTTGTTGAAACTCTTCAACCTCAGGATTTCCAAACCACTGAGTAACACGTACTGATAGACGTGACTTAAATGGTTTACCTTCTCTCTCTGAGAGTAGGTGTCGTTGTCCTGATGTTTTCTTCTGTGAGAGCAAACTGAGTACAAAGAAAAGCTAAAGTCTCTGGAAAGAGGGAGAGAAGAAACAAGCCAGGTGTTTTTACTAATATAATGTGATGTAACTTAAATTGGCGCCTTGAGGAGACTCAGTTCATGCAGCAACAACTGACTGAAGTCCTGCTGTTGCTGCAACAACTTGCCCCAAAGCCACAAATAAATGTTTTGTCTGAAGTGATAAATATTCACGTAACAGGCCGCTTCCTGTTACATCTTGTGAGCTAAAAATGTGACGAGGATGAAGAAGAATGTTTTCTTTCTCTAAGAAGCTGCCTCACCGATTTTGGAACGTACTTTAGGTTTTTAGATAGTTTTAAGTTTAAGCTACTTGAGAGTGAATTCTGATTCATATCGGGGTTTTGTGAAGCTTTTAACCTCTTTTTATGCTTCTGCTGGTTTTTACAGACTGAATCTAAAAACTCAAATCTGTTTCAAGACTGTGATCATATATTTATTACATTTATTGCTTGTAGAAGG